GCCTTTCAATTGCGTCATCGACGCCTGGAAACCAAAACCGGGACCTCGCTTCAGCTTTGGTTTTAACGATGCCTAAATGCGATGAATGCAATTCATTTAAAATTTTAGGGCGTAAAGAATTTGGAATTACGACCTTATGACCTCTCATTAAGCACCCATTTTCTAAAGACAGTTGATTTCGACACAAAAAATAGGGCTTAATACTCGAATCCGATTCCTTACTAGGCCAGCCGTTGAGAACATAATTTACAACACGCCGCAAAATTATGTCACGCGATGTTTCCTTATTTAATTCGCTAATCGTGATCGGTAGCGAGCCGTCGACAACAAAACTAACGTATGCGGCCCTATCGCACAGCGCTGCGGCAGCGTCTGCGCACGACGCTCGCCCCGCCTCCGTTGCACCCGCGCCGCGCTCGCTCACACCCACTAAGCTCGCGCGCGACAGGTAATCTGCCTTGTTATCAGTACTCCGAACGTATTCTATACTAAAATTGTACGCGCTTAAAAACATTGCGTATCTTTGTAACCTATTCGCAGATACTTCCGGGATACCTTTATGTGGACCGAATATTGATAATAGCGGCTTATGGTCCGTACGTAATACAAAAGGTACCGTACGGCCGTACAAGTATTGGTGGAATCTACGAACACCGAATATTATCGCTGTCGCCTCTTTTTGTATTTGCGAATATCGTTTCTCGGCAGAGGTGAGCGTACGCGATGCGAATGAGACCGGCCGCTCGGCGCCGTCTTCCCCCACCTGTGACAATATCGCGCCGAGACCGGTGGGAGATGCGTCCACCGTTACGATGAGTTTAGCGTTTTGATTAAAATGCGCCAACACTAAATCCGACGCAAGCTTATTTTTTATTAAAGCGAACGCATCCGTGTGCGCTTGAGACCATTCCCATTTGTTATTTTTCTTTAACAAATCATATAACGGATTAAGTATAGACGAGGCGCCGGGTACGAAATTCCTATAGTAATTGGCCAATCCCAAAAACGACTGCAACTGGCTGACGTTAGTCGGCACAGGTGCATCTACAATAGCCTTTACCTTTTCGGGCGATTTTTTCAACCCATTTTTATTTATGACGTAGCCAAGGTAACTAATCTCGTCTTTGAAAAATTCGCATTTATCCTTCTGCAACGTCAGTCCAGCCTCCTCGAGCCTCTGCAATACTGAATCTAAACGCGCCAAGTGTTCATCCCTGTTCCTGCCCGTCACCAATATATCGTCGAGCAGACACAACACGCCGTCTAGACCCGACAGTACAGTCTCCATGGCGCGCTGGAAGATAGCCGGGGCGGCGGACAGACCGAACACGAGCCGCGTATATTGATACAGACCCCGGTGTGTATTAATACATGTCAACTTTTGTGACTCCTCGTCTAAGCAAAGCTGATTATACGCACTAGATAAATCTAATTTCGTGAACTGTTCGCCGCTATGTAATTTGGAAAATAGTTCGTTAACTGTAGGCAAAGGATACTGGTCGACTATTAACTGTTTATTTATACTGACAGCGTAGTCGGCGCATATCCTCACGGAACCATTTCTCTTTAGTACCGGCACTATAGGCGACGCATATTCTGAATGATCTATCGGCTTCAAGACACCTAAATCGACCAATCTGTCGATTTCTTTTGTGACCTTTTCTTTCAAAGCAAATGCTATCGGACGGGCTTTGAAAAAAACTGGTCTCGAATTTTCTTTTAAAAATAACTTGATCTTATACTTATTAAATGTACCTAAAGTATCCGAAAACGTCTTCGAAAACCGAGCCTGGAGCTTTTGTATCGACAGAGGCGAGTCGCAATAGTTCACAGGAGCTAACTGTAAATTAAATTTTGAAATAAAGTCCCTACCGAGGAGCGCCGGGCCCCCGCCACGTACCACATATACGTCTAAGTTACGGGTTTGCCCTCCATACAATATACGCGATTGGTTCATAACACCAAGGCAATGAATAGCCTCCCCCGAGTAACCTAGTAATCTTTTCTTTGTTGCTAGTAACCGTGTCTTACTGTAATGCCGTCTATAGGTGTTTACCGAAATAACGGTTACAGCGGATCCGCTATCTATTTCAAAGTTTAATTTAACCCCATTCAGCTCGATACACTCCACCATAGGCTCCCCTCTAAATGATCGGATATGAAAACACTCACCGTCGTCGTCGTTCTCGTCTGACTCGTTCGTCTCCGCTGACGTCACCTGGTTCACTCTTTTACACATTCTTTGAAGATGACCCTTTCGGTTACATTTTTTACAGGTATAATTCGAGAACCGACAGTCTACCGATCTGTGGTTATAGCCGCACACTGTACACTTTACCTTTTTCAACCGACTTTCACTTGCACTTTTTTCACTAGCACTAGCATGTCCGATTTTGAATAGCGCGTCCGGAGGCGCGGCGACGACGGCGCTGCTGCACGACGCTGCGGCTGCGCTAGCGGCGCCCGCACGCGCGCACCTGATGTTCTCCGCTAACTCGACGGCCTTAGACAGGGTCAAGCCGCTCAGATCCTTGGCGTAGATCTTTTCCTTCTCGATCCCGTGCTGCATGCCCATAATAAAACGGTCGCGGAGAGCTTCCTCGAGGTTGCTGAACCCGCAGTGAGCCGAGAGTCCCCGTAGTCGTGCTGCCCATTGTGTAAAGGACTCGGAGTCGTGTTGGACTGCCGCGTAGAAATTGTGCCGTTCGCCGAAGCCAACGCGCTTCGGTGTAAAGTGGGCGTCTAGTAGGTTGAGGATATCCGCGTAGGGCACTTCCTGCAGTTCCTTCGGCAGCGCCAAATCCGAAGCCAATTTAAAGGTACCCTCTGAGAATGCACTCAGCAATATCGCGCGCCGTTTTATTCCCGTCGCAT